GCTCCAACCAAAAGACACAGGCTCGTTGAATGGATACAAAAACAAGACCCATATATATGCTGTCTACAAGAGACCCACTTCAGACCTAGGGACACATACAGACTGAAAGTGAGGGGATGTAAAAAGATATTCCATGAAAATGGAAATCAAAAGAAAGCTGGAGTAGCAATACCCATATCAGATAAAATAGACTTTAAAATAAAGAATGTTACAAGAGACAAGGAAGGACACTACATAATGATCAAGGGATCAATCCAAGAAGAATCTATAACAATTATAATTATATATGCAGCCAACATAGGAGCACCTCAATACATAAGGCAACTGCTAACAGCTATAAAAGAGGAAATCTACAGTAACAAAATAATAGTGGAGGACTTTAACACCTCACTTATACCAATGGACAGATCATCCAAAATGACAATAAATAAGGAAACACAAGATTTAAATGACACAATAGACCACAGAGATTTAATTGATATTTATAGGACATTCCATCCCAAAAAAGCAGATTACACTTTCTTCTCAACTGTGCATGGAACATTCTCCAGGATAGATCACATCTTGGGGCACAAATCAAGCCTTGGTAAATTTAAGAAAATTGAAATCATATCAAGCCTCTTTTCTGACCACAACACTATGAGATTAGAAATCAATTACAGGGAAAAAAACGTAAAAAACACAAACCCATGGAGGCTAAACAATACCTTACTAAATAACCAAGACATCACTGAAGAAATCAAAAAATACCTAGAGACAAATGACGATGAAAACATGACGATCCAAAACTTATGGGATGCAGCAAAAGCAGTTCTAAGATGGAAGTTTATAGCTACAGAAGACTACCTCAAGAAATAAGAAAAATCTCAAATAAACAATCTAACCTGACACCTGAAGGAAGTAGAGAAAGAAGAACAAAACCCAAAGTTAGCAGAAGAAAGAAATCATAAAGATCAGAGCAGAAATAAATGAAATAGAAACAAAGAAAACAATAGCAAAGATCAATAAAACTAAAAGCTGGTTCTTTGAGAAGATAAAAAAAATTGATAAACCATTAGCCAGACTCATCAAGAAAAAGAGGGAGAGGACTCAAATCCATAAAATTAGAAATGAAAACGGAGAAGTTACAACAGACACCACACAAATACAAAGCATCCTAAGAGACTATTACAAGCAACTCTATGCCAATAAAATGGACAACCTGGAAGAAATGGCCAAATTCTTAGAAAGGTATAACCTTCCAAGACTGAACCAGGAAGAAATAGAAAATATGAACAGACTAATCACAAGTAATGAAATTGAAACTGTGATTAAAAATCTTCAAAAAGGGCTTCCCTGGTGGCGCAGTGGTTGAGAGTCCGCCTGCCGATGCAGGGGACACGGGTTTGTGCCCCAGTCCGGGAAGATCCCACATGCCGCGGAGCGGCTGGGCCCGTGAGCCATGGATGCTGAGCCTGCACATCCGGAGCCTGTGCTCCGCAACGGGAGAGGCCACAACAGTGAGAGGTCCGCGTACCGCAAAAAAAAAAAAAAAATCTTCCAACAAACAAAAGTCCAGGACAAGATGGCTTCACTGATGAATTCTATCAAACATTTAGAGAAGAGCTAACAACCATCCTTCTCAAACTCTTCCAAAAAATTGCAGAGGAAGGAGCACTCCCAAACTCATTCTATGAGACCACCATCACCCTGATACCAAAACCAGACAAAGATATTACAAAAAAGAAAAAATTACAGACCAATATCACTGATGAATATAGATGCAAAAATCCTCAACAAAATACTAGCAAACAGAATCCAACAACACATTAAAAGGATCATACACCATGATCAAGTGGGATTTATCCCAGGGATGCAAGGATTCTTCAATATATGCAAATCAACCAATGTGATATACCAAATTAACAAACTGAAGAATAAAAACCACATGATCATCTCAATGGATGCAAAAAAGCTTTTGACAAAATTCAACACCCACTTACGATAAAAACTCTCCAGAAAGTGGGCAGAGAGGGAACCTACCTTTACATACTAAAGGCCATATATGACAAACCCACAGCAAACATCATTCTCAATGGTGAAAAACTGAAAGCATTTCCTCTAAGATCAGGAGCAAGACAAGGATATACACTCTCACTACTATTATTCAACATAGTTTTGGAAGTCCTAGCCACAGCAATCAGACAAGAAAAAGAAATAAAAGGAATACAAATTGGAAAAGAAGTAAAACTGTCACTCTTTGCAGATGACATGATACTATACATAGAGAATACTAAAGATGCCACCAGAAAACTACTAGTGCTAATTAATGAATTTGGTAAAGTTGCAGGTTACAAAATTAATGCACAGAAGTCTCTTGCATTCCTATAAACTAATGATGAAAAATCTGAAAGAGAAATTAAGGAAACACTCCCATTTACCATTGCAACAAAAAGAGTAAAATACCTAGGAATAAACCTGCCTAGGGAGACAAAAGACCTGTATGCAGAAAACTATAAGACATTGATGAAAGAATTAAAGGTGATACCAACAGATGGAGAGATATACCATGTTCTTGGATGGAAGAATCAATACTGTGAAAATGACTATACTACCCAAAGCATTCTACAGATTCAATGCAATCCCTATCAAACTACCAATGGCATTTTTCATGGAACTAGAACAAAAAATCTTAAAATTTGTGTGGAGACACAAGAGACCCTGAATAGCAAAAGCAGTCTTGAGGGAAAAAAATGGAGCTGCAGGAATGAGACTCCCTGACTTTAGACTATACTACAAAGCTACAGTAATCAAGACAATATGGTACTGGCACAAAAACAGAAACATAGATCAATGGAACAAGATAGAAAGTCCAGAGATAAACCCATGCACTTATGGTCAACTAATCTATGACAAAGGAGGCAGGATATACAATGGAGAAAAGACAGTCTCTTCAATAAGTGGTGCAGGGAAAACTGGACAGCTACATGTAAAAGAATGAAATTAGAACACTCCCTAACACCATACACAAAAATAAACTCAAAATGGATTAGAGACCTAAATGTAAGACTGTACACTATAAAACTCTTAGAGGAAAACATAGGAAGAACACTCTTCGACATAAATCACAGCAAGATTTTTTTATCCACCTCTTAGAGTAATGGAAATAAAACCAAAAATAAACAAATGGGACCTAATGAAACTTAAAAGCTTTTGCACAGCAAAGGAAACCATTAACAAGACAAAAAGACAACCCTCAGAATGGGAGAAAATATTTGCAAACAAATCAATGGACAAAATATATACAGCACATGCAGCTCAATATTAATAAAACAAACAACCCAATCCAAAAATGGGCAGAAGACCTAAATAGACATTTCTCCAAAGAAGACATACAGATGGCCAAGAAGCACATGAAAAGCTGCTCAGCATCACTAATTATTAGAGAAATGCAAATCAATATTACAATGAGGTATCACTTCACACCAGTTAGAATGGGCATCATCAGAAAATCTACAAACAACAAATGCTGGAGAGGGTATGGAGAAAAGGGAACCCTCTTGCACTGTTTGTGGGAATGTAAATTGATACAGCCACTATGGAGAACAGTATGGAGGTTCCTTAAAAAACTAAAAATAAAATTACCATATGATCCAGCAATCCCACTACTGGGCATATACCCAGAGAAAAGCATAATTCAAAAAGACACATGCACCCCAATGTTCATTGCAGCTCTATTTACAATAGCCAGGTCATGGAAGCAACCTAAATGCCCGTGGACAGACGAATGGATAAAGAAGATGTGGTACATATATACAATGGAATATTACTCAGCCATAAAAAGGAACAAAATTGGGTCATTTGTTGAGATGGATCTAGAGACTGTCATACAGAGTGAAGTAAGTCAGAAAGAGAAAAACAAATATCGTATATTAATGCATATATGTAGAACCTAGAAAAATGGTACAGATGAACCAGTTTGCAGGGCAGAAATTGAGACACAGATGTAGAGAACAAACGTATGGACACCAAGGGGGGAAAGTGGCTGGGGGGATGGTGTGTGGTGGTGGGATGAATTGGGAGATTGGGATTTACATACGTACACTGATGTGTATAAAATTGATGACTAATAAGAACCTACTGTATAAAAAAATAAATAAAATAAAATTCAAAAATTAAAAAAAAAAGCTGAATACATAAAAAAAAAAAAAAAAAGGAGTAAAAGGAAAAGCTGCCCCCTGGGTCCAAGAACCTTCACCAGCCAGATGCCCTAAAAATGCAGAGAAATAACATTTGGCTGAGAGGGTGAGGTATTTTGGGTAGAAGGTGGCGGCCAGTCATGAAAGGAGGCTTCTGTCTTGGCACCAAAGCCTTCAGACATCTTTCATCATCCTGTGGTGAGAGGGCACTCATCCTGCCCTGCATTCCTAAGCCGTGTTCACTGGACATCACTGAAAACTTTTCCAGGACCCATGCTTAATCTCCTGACCGTCAACTGCAGTTCCGTGCCTTATCCTATGATATCATGAGGTGACTAAAGCCCGCTGTGCCATTTGTCCCTGAACTCAATGGCCTCAGAATGTTCTCCTTTCAGAGTATTCATTTTTCTTTTTAGCAAATTTATTTTTGTCACTTTGTTTCGTATAGGCTATTACAGAGTACTGAAAAGCAATTATGTTCCCCAGTAAGCTCTTGGCTGGGAAAGGGAAGAGACCGGGCACTACCCAGAGTTGATGGCTGAGATCTTGGAAGAGGAGCCAGGTCCCAAGGAAACTGCACAGAATATCTTCCGAAAGGGAGAACAGCAGCTTGTGGATAATTGAGGGGTTGCTGTCTTGTGCAGCTGTCTGGGGCTGGAATGCAGGTTACTGGTAGGTAGGAAGGCACTTGGCGCTGCTTTACCTTCCAAAGCTAGAGGCCATCTGCGCAGTGATTCTCCCAGGAGCTCCTTGTGACAACAGCACAAGGCCAAGAGCACCCTCCCTGGTGCTGCCTGCCCCCTTCCCGGGTCTGAGGCTTACCTTTTGTGCCCTGCGTTTATCAGCTCTCTGATTCTGGTGGTAAATCCGGCTGAAGTTGGAAACGATCACAGGGACCGGCAGGGCAATGACGAGGACACCGCTCAGGGAACAGATGGAGCCGAAGATCTTCCCTGCGATCGTCTTGGGCACCATGTCTCCATATCTGAGAGACAGAAAGAGAAATGGGTGTAAGGAAGAAGGGCCATTTGGGAAACAAGTCAGGCTTCCCTGCCAATCATTCACTCCTTCACTCAACAATTGTTTAGAGTGCCTACTGTGTGCCAGGTACTGTGATAGGACCCGGGAGTGAACAAAATAGACAAGATCCTTATGTTCACGGAGCCAACATCCTACCAGGGGAAGACGGTAAAGTGAATATATAAAAACATTGTGACTTCTGGCTGTTTCTATGAAGAGAACAGAGATGGGTGCTGTGCCAGGTTGGGGGAGTGTGGTCAGGAAAGGCGTCTCTGAGGAGGTAACATTTAAGCTAAGATCTGAAGGTAAAGAATCCAGCCAGGCAACAGCCTTGGGGAAGAGTGTGCCAGGTAGCAGGAACAGAAAGGATGGAGGCCCTGAGGTAAGAAGGGGCTCGGCCTGTTCTAGGAACAGTGAAAGGGCTAGCGGGGCTGGCGCACAGGGCGGGTGGCGGGTTCTACAAGAGGAAACTGAGGCGGCAGGTGGGAGGCCAGACCATGCAGGGTCTAGTGGGCCACGACGAGGAGCGTGGGTTTCATCCAAGTGCAAAGAGGAGCCGTGGATGATTTTGAAGCAGAACACCATTTCATTTTTGATAACAAAACGATGAATAATAAACCGCCTTCTATTCATGTGGAGGTTTATAATTTCCAAAACACTTTTACACATTTGCCTCACATGAGCTCCATGAACCCTGTGAGCTTGGAACCCCGATCCCCATTGTACAGATGCAGGAAACGAGGCTCAGAGGCATGAAGTGGGTTGTCCATGTTTGGGTACGCCTGGGAGTAAAACACACTCCTCTTACTCTCATCTCTTTTCTACTAGCCATGCTGTCTTAGAGGGGACCATGAGCTCCAAATCGCAGCCCCTTAAGCCGTGAAGCCACTTTGGGACAGTGCCGGCTACTCTCAGAGCTCAGAGAAACTTCACACCTTGGCAGCTGCCCCCTGGGACCAGCCTGCCCTGGTTCCTGCTCAGCCCCAGGCAAGCAGGCCAGAGCCTCTCTCCTCCAATCAATAAGATACGGTCCACAGCGGTTAAGTGTTTAGCCTCTTCTTTATTGAGATAATTTAAAGGCCAAGTTAAGAAAAGCTGTGATGACTCCTTTGGCCAAAGCCAGAAACACCATCTCCCCCGCCTCTGTGCCCTCTGGGTGTCTGGAGCAGAAACTGGCTTAGGGTGACCAGGAATTGTTGCTACTGAAATTGTCAAGCTCCAAGTCACTTGTCCTGAGGGGCCCAGGTGTCCTGGGGTCCAGAGAGGCTGTGGAAAGGGATGGGGGAGCCATTTCAGAACTATGAAGTCCTCACCTCCTAACACTAAGGGCTTTGTGGAGGATGTGCAGTGATTGACACATACTTGGCAAGTGGATGAATGATCTCATTTAAGCCTCTCAACACCCTATGAAGTTGGCTCCTGTTTTGAGGACCATCTTCCTTCTCCTTGTGTCCAGGCCCTTTGTTCTGGCTCAAGCTCTCTCAGTCACACCACTGACAGTAAGGCCTGCGAGAGCTCCTTCTGGGAACTTTGATGCTAGGTTTGCCTTCTCTGCCATGATGCTCAGGAGTGGCTTCCGGTGAAGTGGTCGAGAATTCGGCTTCCGAAGTTGGACAATATGGGTTCAAGACTCACCCAGCTCCACCCTAAAATAACTGTGACCTTTAGGCTTCAGTTTCTTTGTCTCGAAAATGAAGATAATAAGAGTAACCTAGGTCATAATCCTATTGAGACGTATACAGCTCTACAAACAATAAATACTATTACTTTTACCTAGACAGTCTGCAAACCATGGTCTCTGTTGCCGAGAAGCTGATTATTCCAAGTTCAAATCATCCCAGTGATGAAGAAAAGGGGGCTGCCCTGGAAGTGAATCATGTTAGCTGGGGTTTTCAGATGACATGATTGAAAGGTGGACATTGGGTACGTGACCATGGGTGAAAACAAAGCGTGGCGGGAGTATGTAAGAATAGCGTCAGGAAGGCTACATTTCAGTGACTGAGGTGGTGAAAAATGCTAAGGACAACAGGAATGTTGTTTCATCCACTGGAAGGAAAGCTGTGCCTTCTGCTAGGCAGATGGTCTGCTGGAAACAGATGACAGAGAGAAAGCTGAACAACGCAACTCGCATGTGCTCTCTGCCTTCTCCACCGAGAAGAGCATGCTTTATCTTGGGAAGGCCAGGACAAATGTGGAAAAACAAAGATCCAGAGCTTAAGGTAGGGGAGGGGAGAGCAGGTGAGTGGCCAGCTGTCTTCAGTGGATTCCCATCACAGGCCCACCTGGATCCTACGCCAGGAGACAGGGGGAATGTGCAGAGGGCGTTATAGAACCACTTCCCATGATGGCTGAGAAATCATGATGCAGCAGAGAAATACCAGGAGACTAGAGATGGAAAACTACTGTATCAATATATTTAAAGAAAAGGAAAGGAGGTCTGAGGAACCACAGACCAGCAGGCTCGGCCTCCATCAATTCTGCCATCCAGTTGCGGGCAGAACTTGAGAGTGGATTGTTAAGTGGACAGCGTGAGAACACTTGGAAAATAAGCTGCACTGGTTCATTAAACACATCTTGCCAGATGACCCTTATTTCCTGTTTGGAGAGGGTTAACTGGCTGGTGGATCAGGAGACCGCTACAGACCTACTGCATCATCGTTGCAGCAAGGTGTGTGCTTGCCCCCGTTCTCTGTACCCTGGACAAGCTAGAGGAATGTGGAGGGGACTGCAGCGTGGCTGGCAGGGGCTGAACAGCCATCTCGAGTCTTCCGGCCCTTCTCAAAGATAAACAGAAATGGTCCCAGGACAGCAAAGGAAGTTCCTGGTTTTCATGTTAGAAGGGTCTCCTTCAATGAAAGAGTAAATGGGCAAACGAAATAAAGAAGGGATCTAAAGTTAGGTCTCTAGTGGTGCATTCCAGAATTTTTTTAACAACTCATGTAAGGCCAGAAGGAGGCAGTGTGGCCTAATGATTGAGAGAGGAATCAGCTCTGGGTTGAACCCAAACCCAACGTTACTTACTAAATAGTTAAGTGTCCTTAGGGAAGTTATGTAACCTGAGCCTCTACCAATATAAATGGGTTTTACAAACCTAACTTACAAGGTTGTTGTGATAATTAATGAGATAATTCAAAAGCACCACTTGATGCTGTATCTGGGTAAATGTAAATTCTCTATAAAAATAGCCAGTGTGGTAGGCATCGATTGTTTTGTCTGCTAATAACCTACACCCTCCTAGGAACTGAACCCCTCCCCTCCTCATTACAACATAAACTCTGTCCAGAGGCGCTGGGTCTCAGAGGAGCTGCCATATTCTTACAAGCCTTCCCCAATGTCTCTGCTCCCACTGGCCACAGGTAGTAAATTCAGAATAGGCATCTGACTCAAGCTGGGTCAATGAGTTCTTTCCTGGATTCATTTTTAAACAGCTTTATGGAGATACAATTTAAATACCATAAAATTCATCCACTTAAATCGTAAAATTCAATGGTTTTTAGTGTATTTACAAAGTTGTTTTACCATCACTGGAGTCTAACTTAGAGCACTGTCATCACCCCCAGTAGAAACCTAGCACCCATCAGCAGTCAGTGACCATTGTACACCTCACCCTTCAGCCCTAGGCAACCACTAATCTACTTTCTGTCTCTATGGATTTCCTTCTTTTGGACATTTAATATAAATGGAATCATACAGTATGTGGCCTCTTGCGCCTGACTTCTTTCACTTAGCATAATGTGCTAAGGGTTCAAGGTTCGCCCATGTTGTAGCATGTATCAGTACTTCATTCCTTTCTTATGGCTGACTAATATCTCATCGTATGGATAGACCACATTTTGTTTACTCATTCATCAGTTGAGGGACATTTGGATTGTTTCTACTTTTTGGCTATTATGAATAAACTCTGCTATGAAAATTTGTGTACAAATTTTGGTGGGGATATATGTTTTCATTTCTCTGGGACTCATATGGTAACTCTATGTTTACCAGTTTGAGGAACTGGTGAACTGTTTTCTAAAGTGGCTGTGTCACTTTACAATCCCACTAGCTATAAATTAGGGTTCCAATTTCTCCATATCTTCACCAACACTTGTTACCATTTGTCTTTTGATCCTAGCTGTCCTAGTGGGTGTGACATGGTATCTCATTGTGTTTTGTTTTTGTTTTTGTTTTTTGTTTTTGAGGCACGTGGGCCTCTCACTCTTGCGGCCTCTCCCATTGCGGAGCACAGGCTCCGGACGCGCAAGCTCAGAGGCCGTGGCTCACAGGCCCAGCCGCTCCATGGCATGTGGAATCCTCCCGGACTGGGGCACGAACCCGTGTCCCCTGCATTGGCAGGCGGACTCTCAACCACTGCGCCACCAGGGAAGCCCTGTGTTGGTTTTTTTTAACATGTTTTTAAAAACTGAAATATAGTTAATTTAGAATGTTGTGTGAATTTCAGGTGTACAGCAAAGTGATTCAGTTATATATATAATATATATTATATTTAATATGTATATTATTTTTCAGATTCTTTTCCCTTAAAGGTTATTACAAGATATTGAATATAGTTCCCTGTGCTATATAGTAGGTCCTTGTTTTTTATCTATTTTATATATAGTAGCATGGATCTAATCCCAAATCCCTAAATTGTCTCTCTCCCTCCCATCTCCACTATCCCCTTTGGTAATCATAAGTTTGTTTTCTATATCTGTGAGTCTATTTCTGTTTTGTTAATAAGTTCTTTTGTATCGTTATTTTTAGATTCTACATATAAGTGATATCATATGATATTTGTCCTTGTCTGTCTTACTTCACTTAATATGATAATTTCTAGGTCCATCTGTGTTGCTGCAAATGGCATTATTTCACTCATTTTTATGGCTGAGTAATATTTCATTGTATATATGTACCACATCTTCTTTACCCACTCATCTGTCAATGGACATTTAGGTTGCTTCCATGTCTTGGCTATTGTGAATAGTG